AAAGCAAGAGTCGCCACTATACTTTATTGTTTCCAAAGGAAAAGGGAAAACAGTTAATAAAACCCATAAAAATAAAGAGATAAGGGTACGCCTAAAAGATGTCCAAAAATGGCATTGAACTCTATTGGGGATACATCGATCAACCTCCAAGAATTACATTTGATTAAAAGGAATCACGACATTCAAGAATGACATTGAATGAGGTGAGAAACAATCTGGAAAATACATCAGAAGCATCTAGAAAAGCATTAGATGTGGGATGAGACCAAATCCGATGATTCATCAGAGACATCCAAGAATGACATTGGATGGAAAGGATCATGATATCTAATAATGGCATTGAATAAAGTGAGAAAAACACCATGGAATGGCACCGAATAAAAAATAACCACAATATCTAATAATGGAATTAAATAAAGTGAGAAACACATCCAGAAATGGCACTGGAGTGACAAGAATCACTACATCCAAGAATGGCATTGAATGTAAGTGAGAAAGAGCTTTTGGGAATGGCACTGAAAATAAAAGGTAAATCACTACATCTAGGAATAGCACTGAATGAAAATGAGATCATAATATCCAAGAATAGCATTGGATGTAACAAAAAGACATGACACCTATGAATGACATTGAATGAAAAAGAGGAATAGGATACCCAGAAATGGAAGTGGGGAAAAACGAGACAAATGGACAGATACCTGCTTTGGTAGGTTCCCAGTAAGTTGGATTTTGACCATAAGGTCAAATGTTTATAGTAACATGACCTCAGGAAATGCAAATGAGCACGAAACACATTTCGAGCTATGCATGGTAGTGAATTTTGCTATGCGTTATATATGAATGATCAATGCATGATATATGAATGGTGAATGCATGATATACAAATGATTGAGACAGCCGAGCTAGACTCTTTCTAGGGAAAAACAAGATTGTAATTTTGATTCCTCAACACAGGGAATACTACCAACTTCGCTTGGGGAAAATGTTGAACACACCTCTTTCACACTTGTAAACTATATGAAGTTGACAATCCTTTGAGGAAGTCTGAAGAGATGCTTGGTAATTCTGCAGGAGAAAACTTCACAAATTGACAGATTGATGTGCATAAATTGATCATGGCTTCATTTTGACTATTGTTGAGGATAAACTGATCATGGTTTCAGTTTTTGAAATGACTGTTGGGAAAGCTTGCCCTAGTATGAGTCTTAAAAGAAATCTGCTGGCTAACCAATTCAGAGAATAACTTGCACTGAGCAACAAATCTTGAATTGATTCACAACAAGATCTGGAAGTAACCTGCCCCTGATAGGACCACTGACCCAAGTTTGTTGACTGTTTGATATTCCTTGATGAGGAATGATTGTCTGCAAATAGAATGTTCATTCAAACATAGTAATTTTAATGTGATGTTCATGCAAAAGTTTTGAAATCAAAATCATTTTTGGAATGGTATTATTGATGTATAGAAAATGAGTCACTGGTTAAAACACGATGGTTTAGATATTCAAAGTGAAAGATAAAACATAGGTATGAAACCAAAGACAAATGATTAGCAAAAATATTTGGAGTCAGTTTACGCAACCTTGATGTAGTATACTTTCAAAAGAAACATGGCTTTAATTAGGTCTTTTGAGGGTTGTAACATGGCCTGAATCACGTTTAAGAAACAAAGGATAAAGGCTCAAAGTTTATTTGTACCCAACCATTCTTTATGATGTTTTTCAGTCGTACGTTTAGTTAATTCCAACTATGTATTCAAGTTCCAAGAGATTTTGGAATCGTACTGATGATAGTAATGATGATGCCTTGGAAACCAATGGATTCTTTGAGATTAGAGTCACTTTTTCTTACTATATTTTGTTGTTTTTGTTGAGAACCTTTGTCAACTATGGTGGAGAATTTCGAGGATTTAAGGACCTCTTTCTTTTGAATTTTCTTTTGTTATCCCTAAATTTTGCCTGAACTATTTTATTGAGATTACACTCAGCGGGATGCCCCAATTTTTTCTAAGTCTCCTTTTTAGGTTTTGACTTAGCAGGATTTTCTTTGATTTTTCATTCTTTTCTTTTTTTAGAAAGATACTGATTGCTCGGCTTAATGATTACGGTGAATCATCATTGGCTTTTGATTTGAGATACATCTTTGACACTTATCTGATGTATGCGAAGGAAAGCTTGTAGTTGCAACCTTTATTGAATGGTGTCTTGAATGATTCTCTTGTAATTGAATGCACAATCGAATTAACTGAGATTTACCCATCCCTAGGTTTAAGATTGCAGGGTTTTTTTCGTACAGAAAGAAACTTGAACTTCTTAGGCTCAAAGGGGTAAACGAGGGATTAACTTCCTTATTTCTCCAGTGTTTGGAAATTGAAACAATGTCTTACTTCGTCAATAAATTTTTATTTGAAAGCATACCAACAACAATTATGGGTATTTCGTTTTCATCATCATCCCTCAAATCTTTGCTTAAACAAGAGTTTGATAAAGAAAGTAAACAACTCATGACCTTGCTTTTAGGGTGAGGCAAAAAATTTACACTTCTCAGACCCCTTTCTCCCCTTTCAAGAGGATGTCAACAAGTTCCATGTGTTTGTTAGGATCGGTCGTCCCATCGTAGATTCCTATTTCTAGTGGTTTATGGAGTTTCGTCCTTATGGGGTACTAGTTTATTGTCATGTTAAATTTGTTTTGGAATGAGATGTTTTCTTCCCTTTCGCAACCATTAAAAATGAGGAATGACATATGTCGATGATGGTGGCCGTGATGTCTTGGATGTCACCTTCGTGTTCCGACTCCAAAGGAATTTTCCTTCTCAAGATTTGGGAATAAGTCTCACATCTTTGTTGGCCTAGCGATTACTAGTACTTGAAGAACTCAGGCGAGTCTTCACTATGGCTTGTTACTATGTCATTCTGGAGCCTATGCAACATGAGTTATTCAGGACATGGGGTTTAACCCCTCGGAGTTGCTCATTTCAAAACTCCAATAATTCAGACTCTTTATTGATCTCCACAAGCAAGTCTCTCAAAAGAGTGTGTGTTTCCAGATTTGTTGTCTAGTTCACTAAAGTGGTGATTTGAGGTACGATATCACCTTCTTCCTAGTGTGGAGACAAGTTTCCCTTAATTGGTTGTTATGGTTCTTCATTTGGTGGAATGACAACGATTATTTCAAGAGTTGACAGAGGTTGGATCTGGTTTTCCACGTAGAAGAAAGACGTTGGGAGTCCTTCTTCAAGATTGTGGTTTCATTATAATTTTTCTAATAACGAATCATGGACGGTTGGAGTTATGTGTTGTTATTTTTCCTCTATTTTTCATACTGACGTTCGAGTATGTGGTTGAAATTTAACGATCGTTCCTATAGGTGACGCTAATGATCCTTCCGATAAAAAATCATTCATGTGGTTGTGAAGTTGGTCAAATAGGAATAGCTCTAGAAAATGATGTTGCTCATGGTCCATCCCCTCGATAAGGGTGGCACCTACATGCATTTTGATGCTCAAGTAAGTTTTTATTGGATGTGAGAAGTATTCTAGGTTAAAAATGTGTGTACTTTGATTTCACGCTTTACTGCTTCTTTTATAGAAGGTTTCTAGGATATTTGAAAGTCTAGAATCTTTTAATGTATGATCAGCATCTAAATAATAGATTTAAGAGTATAATTTGTTATGTTATCTAACGGACCCTCTTCAATCATTTTCCAGGTCAATTATTATCCTAGGATAAGCCTATATTTGTTCCCGAGGTCCTAGAACCTTTTCTTGGTCTATATTTCAGAGGTCGTTTGGATCTTCTAACTTTAACTTCTCTACCTTTCTCTAACTTTCTCTCTATCACTTTCTTAATCTACTTTCTCTCACATATTTTTCCCTCCAAAATCAACACTATTATTTATTTTATTTCACCTAAAGTTACTTTAACTTTTCCACTAAAAAGTTAGAGAATCCTTATCTATAATTTAGGATATGATATTTTTCCCTATGTCAATATGGTATGATGTCCTCTTGATGGGCCAATTTGCATAGCCTTTTGATTTTACTCTTTTGTTATTGGGTTGCGCACTATTGAGTCATGAACATCGGTCATGGTCCATGCAAGAATAAATAGGTGAGTTGAAACTTCCGTGTTTCCTTAAACCTTCTAAAATATAAGAGGGCTGCTATTTTGACACTAAAGTTTCAACACTGTATCTTTAAACCTTCTAAAATACAGCCTAGGCATGTGTTAGTTGTGTCAAAAAAATGAAAAAATAATTATTAAACATGATAGAAAAAAAACAAAACCATATAAAGCACAGTGTAGGTGTCACAAATTAGTGTAATAAAATCATTTCTCAAATTTTAATTGTACGTAAAGCATATTGTTAAATTCTTCCTCCGAAATGGATTATAAGCAAAAGTAAATGTGAAAAATTAATATATCCGATTAAAAATTACTATTTGCTCATCTAAATGTTTTAAAAATCAACTCATCTAAATTTTTTATTATAAAAAAGTTACATATTTGTTCGACTAATAAAGTTACACTTCTATTTGCGCATATTGAAAAACATTTTCTAATTTTAAAAAATTTTAAAACTCAACTCACTTAAATTTTATGTAAAAAAAGGAAAAAATAATTATGTAAAAAATGACAGAAAGAGAGGAGTATTTTAGGCTCATAATTCTTGTAAGCTTTCGTGCGAGACAGTTAATACAAATGGCCCCGTAGCTATGGCTAACGTAAACACTTATAATTCACATTCATCTCCTTTATTTTCTCATGTTGATGTTTTCTCATGTTGATGTTGACAAACCTCTTTTTCCAAGAAAATTTGTCTATTAGCAAGCAATAGTTTTCTTTTACAGTGTTCTAGCAATAGTTTTCTTTTACAGTGTTCTAGCAATAGTTAACTTAACACTCTCCATATGGCCACTGCTTACTCAGAAACTACTTTTCACATTACAAAATGCAACAAATCTTTTCAGTTTCTATTCTTTTTTAATTTACACAACAGCTATCTACGAATTCTAATGCCAGGAATATCTTTCAAACCCATTTTTAGTGCAGTTTTTCGAAACAGAGAAGGTGGCCTCTGTAAACCAATGGATTCAGAAAACCGGTTTGCCAGCTCAGCTACTGTGCTCTTCTCCCTCCCAATTTCTTTGATGGAGTTATAATAACCGAGCCAAGCATGATAAGCTGCGTCTTTGATGTCATTATCAATCTTTGCCATTGATTGCTCAATCTGTAGGAATTAATGCAGTCAATAATTTTCTTTATCTACAATCATATAAGCTGGGACACGATGAAATATGAAGATCAATGTACACGGGGAAACGAGAATACATCAAAATAATGCACAAACATTAGAACAAGAGCACAAATTATACCTTAAGCTGTGCTTGTGGATCTAAATCTGGTAAGGGGAATTTCTCTAGAGGAAGATCCTTGATCTCACTTAAAAAATACTCTTCCCATGGTGCAATCAACAATATGCCTTCCCCTCCTTTGCCTTCCCGTCCTGTTCTTCCAAGACGATGTATATATTGTTCACGGTCTGTTGGAATTCCCACCTGCGTTCCATAATATAGTTTAGGACATGGGGCAATTTAAGTTATTCAAAAAAGAATTATAAGCTACCGGTACAAGTTTCTCAAAAATCCAAGTTCTATTTGATAGTTTTAGCAAAGAAATAGTTCCGGTCCTGAGTGGAAATACATAGAAGTATATATATACCTGAATAACTAAAGTAACATCAGGATAATTCATTCCACGTGATGAAACATCAGAGGAGACAAGAATCATTTGTTTAGATTCCTTAAACTCTTCTGATACACGAGTCCGATACAGCTGAGGTTTTCGAGAATGTATCTCCCTGACATTCAGTTTCATTTCCCGAAGCAGGTTATAGGTAAGTGATGTCACCATCCCAGTAATACAGAAAACAATAACCTGAATGCAAATCTACCAGTTAAAATCATAAAATGAATCACAAAGCAATTCAAACACCAAAACAGAAAATGCATTAACCTTATAATCAGGTGTCTGCGAGACATGCTCTTTCAAAATATGGTGTACTATCTGAAAGTGTGATTCATGTGGAGCAATAAGATATGATTGCTTTACCTGTGATGCCAAACAAAAAATAAGCATTAATGCCTAAGGATCTAAAGGTCAATTGAATATGCATTTTACTCTGTAACTGATAGAGTCTGACAATAGTTAGTGTAACTTACCTGAACGGGAGTTTCCACGCAACCCATTCCAACTGTATCCACATATTTGTGTTCCCTTTTCAAAACAAGCTGAGATATTCGACGGACCTGCATATTTTAGAAGGGTCAATTATATTGTTGATGGAATACTGCAGCAACACAATTGTGGTTGTAAGAACCTTCAGTAAAAAACCTAACCTAGCCTAACCTCCTTTGGGATGGTTGCAGAAAACAGTAAGGATTGCCTTTGACGGGGCAAACAATCAACAATTTTTTCTATATCCTTTCGAAACCCAAGGTCCAATAAATGATCAGCTTCATCAAGTACAAGCATCTGCAAGCCCATCAATCGTACAGATATTCCAGACTTATTCTCAATATGATCCAGCAATCTACCAGGTGTGGCAACAAGCATCTGAAAATTTTAATACAAGGAAAAAGAAAAATCATTATGTGTTGCTACTCAAAGAATTAGACTTGCACATGGCCTGAAACCACATGCTAGGAAAGATATGAAATTTAGTTATAACACAATACCTGACATGGATCTGATTCAAGGCGTTTCTGGTCAACTTTAAATCGCACACCTCCAACTAGAGTCTGCACCCCAATGCCATCGTGATATTTCAGCAAAACCTTTGCTTCAGCAGCAATTTGACTTGCAAGTTCTCTGGTAGGGCATAGAATAAGAACAGATATTGGCGGGGCACGGTGAGAGGTATTGCTACTCATAGCTTTCAGAACTGTTTCAATAGCAGGAAGCTGTTTGCATTTAGCACCATTGATAGAAAGAATATAAAAAGGATGCAGTGCATTAAAATAACTATGGTGTACCAAAAAAGCTGCAGTTTTTCCAGTGCCAGTTTTAGCCTTAACCATAACATCCACACCTGCAATGTAACCGAAGTACAAGGATCATCAAAATTGAATCTAATAGACATATTAAACGAATGGGAGATATGTAATAACAAGCAAATTAACAAACAAAAGACTTAAAGTGGATGCAAAAAACCAATCTGATTGAGAGAAAGAATCACAATGCAACAGCTTTACAATACGCATCTTTTGTAAGACTATCAAGTTTTGATAATGATGATAAATAGAAACTAGATTGCAAGAATGAACGATATAGGAAACATACCCTCAAGACAAATGGGGAGGCTAGTCTCTTGAACCCGCGTCATATGAATGTAACCAGATGAAGAAAGTGCTTTGATTGTCAATGGTGATATAGCACACTCTTCAAATCTAAGAAAAACAAAGCATCCAAATCACTAATTGCAAAACCAATGCAAGCAAAACATGCACACTCCTCTCATCTCAGTCTCTATAATATTCAAATTCTGCTACACTAAACTGCTATGGCACCACGATAACCACTATTTGACACCACTTGTGCTAAATAGAAAATCGCAGAACAACAAGGTTTGGTTCAAATTCCGCTACGGTATAGCACTCTATTGACAACACTAGTGTATATATGCTTATGGTATAAGCAAATGTTAATCAATCATCAATACTGTTCTGTACCAGCCAAAGGCCTAGTGCGAGGGCCCAACTATGCACAGCCCAATTGAGGTTACCCGACATATATAGTCAGCACACATGAGATTCAAGGTACTTTTTTTATCTCCATTTTATCACTACACTCATCTTAGAGTCTTGAATTCTGGTCCCCTAACAGAACAAAATCATGACACAAAGAAAGGAAAAAAAAACATTTCTATAGCAGCAAAGGAATAACAATACCTTGTCTGAGTAAGAACATTTTCCTGTTCCTGACCCTGATTCTCTTCACTTTGACTCAACTTCTTCTTATTAAGCTCATACTTAATCAACTCAACCTGCTCAGAAAAATCAGTTCTATCATCATAAGCCTTCGGCATAACTCTCCTCTCCCTCTTCCCATCATATTTACCCAATGAAGCAATACTACCCATATTGGAATAATAACCCTGATTCCTAGATTCATCTTCAGCCTCACTCTCACTCTCGCTAGAAGAATCACCCTTTCTCCAAACTCTACGTTTTTCAGGCTTTTCAGTGCTAACCCGCTTCCCATCAGCCAAAAACCTAACTTCAGAAACAGAACGGTAACCCCTAATTTGCGAATAGTTAGAAAAGTTAGTCAAATTCTGATTGCGTAAATCAATTTGCTGGGAGGTTTGGGGTTGAAGTTGGGTCTGAGCTTGGGTTGGGGTAATCGGACCGTCGAGGTCGTTCCAGAGATCTTGGGCGCCGTCTTTGACGAAACGATCGGCGAGGGCTTTGATGTGTTGGTGAGGGGAGATGGGGTTGTGAGTGGCGGAAGAAGAGGATGAAGGTGGAGGCGAGAGAGTGGAGCGAATGTGAGATCGAATGCGAGCTTGGTAGAGTTGTTTCTCTTGTTCGAGGAGGTTTTTCTGTTTCTCTTTGGCTCGTTTTTCGTGCATGCGTTTCCATTTCCATTTGCTTACGCCGCCGGGGAAGGTGCGAGGACCGCCGCCCATGTTACGGATGAGGATCAGGTTCCATGATGCGGGTGATGATGGTGCCGTCCGGCCTTGCCTAATCATCCATCCCCACATCTCTGTTTCTGTTCTGTTATGTTTGAGGAGATAACACAGCAAGGGTTTTGGTTAGGGTTTATGGTTAAGAGAAATGGCCAAATGGATTTAAGGCTTTTCCTTCTTACAAGAAATTAGAAAATAAAAATGTGTGTCATAAAGCAATTCAATTTGAATTAATAATAATAATAATAATAATAATAATAATAATAATAAAATAATAATAATAATAATAATAATAAAATAATAATAATAATAATAATAATAATAATAAAATAATAATAATAATAATAATAATAATAATAATAATAATAATAATAATAATAATAATAATAATAATAATAATAATGTGTGTCATAAATATAAATATGTGAAATATCTTATAGTTGACGCCACATTCCCCTCCAATGTCATCTTGGAAAGGATTGTTCTGAATTTATTAGAGGTGATCTTATCTACAACGCACTTAAGCTTACAATGTTCATTATCCAGCGAGTGTGCGGGTATGGTCAAAAGAGATTAGGCGATCACCCAAGAATGTTACTAAAGTAGTCAAGAAATAGTGAGGGAACCCCTCACCTTGTGTGTTATCCCTCGACATAAAATGATTTCAGTCACCAAAAATTTTTTCTTGAAATTCTCACTATCAACAACTTTAGCTTTTACAAAGGTTCAACCAAACAACCTTCCTTACACCAAGTTTTTATAGGTTTAGCTTGCAAGCTCAGAGTCAATAACAAAATGCATAAGCGAACTACGATTTTAGATATACAAATTTAGCACAACAACATAGTTACACGATTTTCAAAGTAAATTTTCCATTATTGTAATACTAAAGTTGTGTATAGTAAATACAATTGATTTTTAGAATGGGAATGAGTGAGATACAAAAGTAGCATATTTTGAAAAAGTGTATTTTAGAAGTGAGTACAACCTTTCTTAATATAGGAAGAAATTTAGCTTAAAAGGAAACAATTCATGGAGTTGATGGCTCTTGATCAACGACATTTTAATTGTGTTTCTAGAGTATTGTATCTTCAAATCTTAAGTAGTTTAATATCTATTTGGTGCATTTTACTTCTATATCTTTGTTTTTCTATGTTTCATATGAAAGAGAATGAGACAAGAGAAATTAGAGTTCAATCGGGAAAAATACACGAATATTGCACTAGTAAAAAAGTCTTTAGTACAAAAACCATAGCCCATTACGGTTAGGTCGTAATGGCCATTATTGATCGTAATGTGAGCCATCATACATAAAAATGGCCAGCATTACCACTGCCCGTAGCAGACATTACTAGTCGTAGCCAACATTACCACATTCATGTAATGGACATTACTAGATGCAGTGCACTAGAGATTGGACTCGGATTTCATTTTTAAAGTCGTTGTTTTGATGACCCTTTAATTTCTGATTGTTTCATCTGTTTCTCTTCATCATCAATGCCTCTTAATATGAATTAAATTCATTTTTTAAGGATTTTAGGCCTATAAATAGCTATATAACAATGAGAAAATAGACCAAGTCATTATAGATACTAGCACTCTTAAACTTTATTCTGTTTTCCTACACTTTATTTTCTGCAAGCTCTAATTTGTTATTCCGTAAAGTCTTTTTGGACCATTTTGGTACAATAAGCTTCACTATAATTTCAAGTTTTTTTATTTTGTTTATACATTGTTATTATGCTTATGTCTATCAATATGTGTACTTTGATCTTTTTCATGCTTGAGTAGTAACTTTAGGACTTAGGATTATCTAAGAAGTAGACATCATGTAAGTTCCCTCATTTAAGTTGTACAACGAGAAATACATGTTTATTTTGATGTATACTTTTAAATGATTAAGTTTGCTATGAGAGAAACTTTACCATTTTAAAAGAAAAAAATAGTTGAATCTAAAGGATTCTAAATGAACGAGATACACTATGAAAGCAGGTAACTCGTTAGTTCAGAATAGATTAATGTGTTGACGAAAGTAGATATTACGAGTAATTCATATTTATATCTAAAAATTAATGATTCTTGTTGTTAGCTGAATTCAGAACTTGCATGAGTAAAAAATTGACTCATAAATTTGTTTACCAAATTTCGTTTTGCAATCTGATTTTTATGCATTTAATGAATGTCTCTACGAAAGTAGAGACAACTTAAGATATCAACCGAAGAACTGAAAGGTGGAGTTTGATATCCAAACTTAAAAACCCGACGAATAGATTGACGACCTATTTGAGAAAATGCATATAAATGCATATAGAAATTCTTAAAGGATATGGATGGCAATGGATAGGGTATGAGTAGGGTACTATAATATATGTCCCCATACTTGCGGTTGTAAAAAATCCCCATACGTGATCCCATACTCGCTTGGGTAACAATATTAACACGCGTACACGTGCCCTCTGTTGAAAGTAATTCCTTGTGTCGAAGTAGTTTGCTTGACAACGACAAGGGAGTGTCGAAGTAGGTGTGTCAAAAATGCTACACACAAATTTGATTTGTTTTAGATTTAGATCTAAAATAGATAGATTTGATTTAGTACCAAAATAGGTATTTTGGGCTTTTATAGTTTTGGACTTTGATTTAGGGACCAAGTTAACCTAAATCTATAAATAGGGAGTAACCCCTATTTTTGTAACCAAGTCAATTCATTGTAATCACAGAATTTGCAGTTGCAAGTGATTAACAAAGTTTTCCACAGTTTGTGGGCAGAGAGAAACTTTGTAGAAAATAATTGTCTTCTTTCTTTTATTTTCTCATAATTCATTGTCATTGTGTGGTGATATCAATCTTGTTCATCAAGATTGGTAGAAATTCATCATAGATATTTGGTGGATTTCCAATATCTGGTATCAGAGCTCGGTTAATCGATTCAAGGGAAGTATTAATCAAGAACGATTGAGGAAGAAGAAGAATTCACGATGGCGAGTTATAGGAATGCAAATTATCCAGCAACTCTACCAATTCTAAAAGTAGACAACTATGAGAATTGGTGCAAACAGATGAAAGTTTTATTCAGGTTTCAAGGTCTTTGGAATCTTGTAAAGGATGGATTAGAAGCGCTTGGAGAAAACACTTCAGACGAAGAAAAGAAGAAACACACAGAATCTGAGAAGCTGGGTTATAAAGCACTCTTTATAATTAATCAATGTCTGAGTCCAGAAAATTTTGAAAAAGTGAGTGATTCAGAATATGCAAAAGAAGTTTGGGAGGTTCTTGAGAAGTCTTTTGGTGGTGCAGAAAAGGTGAAACAAGTGAGGTTACAAACTCACAAGAGAATTTATGAATTGCTTCAAATGGAAGATAGTGAGAGCATATCTAATTTCTTCACTAGGGTTATAAAACTAGTGAATCAAATCAAGGTATGTGGAGAAACATTAATAACAAGAGTTGTTGTTTCGAAGATCTTGAGATCTTTGGCTCCTAAGTTTAACCACGTGGTGGTGGCTATAGAAGAGGGGAAAGACTTGTCGAAATTTACAAAGGAAGAGCTTCAAGGGAAGCTTGAATCTCATGAACAAAGAATGACTGAAAGAGCTGCAGGAAAGTTGAAGAGTGATGTGGCTTTGCAGGCACATTCAGCAAAAGAAACTAATGGCAAAGGAAAATGGTTCAATAGAGGTAGAGACGGCTACAACAAATCGACTAGTAGAGGAAACCAGAACGAAGGAAATGTGTCGAGTCAGAGAAGATCATACCAAGGCAAGCAAAGAGGTGGTGTTGCAAATAGAGGAAGATGTGGTGGTAGAAAACCTGATAATAGTCACATTTAATGTTAAAATTGTCAGAAGTATGGTCATTATTCAAGTGATTGTCCAAAAAAGCGAAAGAATCAAGAAAGTGATGCAAAGTTTGCAAAACATGAAGAAGAAGAGATGATGTTAATGGTCACAACAAGAGATGAAGATAGATTCAAGGACCAATGGTACTTGGATTCAGGATGCTCATCACATATGTCTGGAAGGAAAGACTGGTTTGTCAATATAAAATTCTCAATAAAATATGGTAAAATTCGCTAATGACAATACCCTAGTAGCTGAAGGTATTGGTGATGTTATGATTATGATGAAAGATGGCAAGAGGTCAGTAATTTCCAATGTGTTGTACATAACAGGCATGAAGAGTAATTTGCTCAGTATAGGGCAGTTGGTCGAAAATAATTTTAAAGTGTCAATCAAAGATAAGATGATGATAGTCATCGACACAAATGGAAGATTAATCTTGAAGGCTCCTATGTCTCAGAATAGAACCTTCAAGATCGAACTAAATGTGATGGAGCACAAGTGCCTTTTGACTATAACTAGCAGAGATGAATGGATATGGAATTATCGACTAGGCCATCTTAACTTCAGAGACATCAGAGTTTTGAAGAGAAGAAATATGGTTTCAAGATTTCCAGAAATCGACATTCCAAATGAGGTATGTGAGGAATGTGTGCAGGCGAAGCAGCACAAGAATAACTTCAGCAAGGATGCAGGAAGCAGGTCGAAGATTATTCTTGAAGTCATATACTTAGATGTATGCGGACAAATCCTGGTGGATTCGATGGGAGGTAACAAATACTTTGTTACATTCATAGATGATTTTAGTCGAAAGTTATGGACTTACCAGATCAAGAAGAAAAGTGAAGTGATCAAGGTATTTTCCAAGTTGAAGTCTATGGTCGAAAGACAAAGTGGTCGAAAACTCGAAGTTTTGAGAACTTGTGGTGGTGGAGAGTATGCATCGAAAGACTTCGACGGGTTATATGAAAAGGAATGGAATATGCATGAGGTGGTGCCACCCTATACTCCACAGCATAATGGAACTGCAGAAAGGAAGAATCGAACCATCATGAATATGGTGAGAAGTATGTTGAAAGACAAGAATTTACCTAAAGAGTTTTGGGGTGAAGCTGTGTCGACTGCAACATACATTTTAAACAGATGTCCTACGAATAAGCTAGAAGGAATTACTCCAAAAGAATGTTGGTTTGGTGTGAAGCCTAGCTTGAGTCATCTGAAGTTATTTGGATCTATTGC